ACAGAGAGGCCGTAAGTGCACTATTTCAGGGAGCACTAGAAAGTTCGACCCGGAAACTACAGCTTAAAACTTTATAACCATTCTGCGTGCTTTCTTCAACCCTGGCGCATACACCGGGCAATTGACTCCGGAATAAGTCAAGTGCGTTGCGTTGAGTTCGTCCACAGATAATTATTAATGCTAACAAAGCCATCTCATCAATAAGGTTGGAAGCACATCGCTCTAGAGATTAGCTAGTCGAGTGAATGCGACATCCCTATACAGCTTTCCAGTAGGTTAATGCTCATTGAAAACACTTCTTGATGTATCGAAGTTCAGTTGTCGAACTTTAATATGAAAAACGCGCCAGGCCCCATGCGTTGAATCAACAAGCTGATCGTGATCATTCAAAACGATTATCGCGAAGAATGTTCCGCCATGAAATGTATTGAAAGGAAGTGTTCTTTTTCCTAACAGTCATGTTTGCTTCGTTCTCAGGCCGGAACATAGAAAGCAGCATTACAAATCGCTTATTTCTGAGTGAGTGCATATCTCGTAACTGTAATACCCTGATCTAGCAGCTTACACACTTCAATTCTCTTTGCGCTATCTTTTGTATCCTCCGAGTGGTTCGTCTAGTTCTCTATTTGTAGTTATTTTCCAGCGGTCCGTATTATAGGATTTGCTTTCTACCAGCCACTGCTACTTAACTGCTATCAATCCCGCAATGAAGATGCCACCTCGAATGGTGGCGAAACGTTTGCAATCAAGTTGCCCAGCTCGGAGAACTCTACAATAACTCAGATGATGAGCAGTAACTGCCAACTGGGTAACACACCCCCGGGAGACGAATGTGACCCCACGACCGCACCACTGCCCAGAGAGAGAGAGGAGTAGATCTGTCACACAATCGCTTTTACCGACCCACACAGAAGCGATGCAGGTCGAAGCTCTCTCGTGTATAGAACTGATGAGTAGTAGTGAGGGTTTTGGTTAATTCAGCTAATTCATCATCGTCACTCCCAATCAGCAGGCCCTCGTGTATAACAAATGCACTACACCGGGCATGATTATTTTCGAGGTATGGTTGCTCTGAAAATCTGTTGTTTTGTGATTTCCAAGCCTCGTGGTCGCACTGTGAGAGCCACACAGAGTGGCCTTTTGATTTCCCATGCGAACATTGGAGTCCATGCCGCGGGTGCGTGTTCTTCGGAATTAGTTGACGTTCCCGCAACACGTTTTTTGAAACTAAGTTGTACGAATTTTGACGATGGTCGATCTGCAGCAATTTTTGCGACCTACGTGTTCATTATTTCCGTCAGTAAGTAGGGCTGTTGAGACTTGGCAGAAGCCAAATAAACATCGCAAACATGACTGTTAGGAAAAAGAACACTTCCTTTCAATACATTTCATGGCGGATATCCTTTTCCAGCTGCCTAGTCGGAACTTGTCTTCTGTAGTGAAACAAACGTATCCGGCCGCTAGAGTTCGTATCGTTGTCAAAACCCTGCTGCCTATCACCGAACGCTCAAAAGAGAGTCCCGATCCAGTCTGAATCATGTGCTGTTAGTCCAATTACACCGGTTGTGCAATGTATATCTCGGACATCGAGGAACACCGTCCATCCTCGTTACAATATGGCGTGACTAAGATTGTCCACAGCTCCATTCTTGTAAAGTTACTAAGCAGTAGACACCAGATACAAACGAACGACATTTCTAAAGTACTTTATTTCACATCGAAACGCAACTCAAAAGGACTCAGAAAGCGCTTTCTGGTCACGGTTGAAGCCAGTGCAATAAAGCGGCTGCAGCCTGAACTGTGCAAAGACCCACACTGCAATGACTACGACCTAGGCAGTTGTGACCTCACAATTATTGGTCTATGTGGGGGTTTGAAGTGGCATTGGTTCCCACAGTTAACAGGATGTCAAACCTCTTCATCTCTCTGGATAAACCATACCCACCAAATCGTAGCAGCTCTACAAATAGCTTATTTTCCAGTGTAGCTCATAATTGTACATGCCTGTAGGGGTTTGTCGAGAAATCTCCGCAACTATCCATCCGACGTGTGAGCGGCGACTGAACCATCCTTCGCGACACAGCGTCTTAGTCTCGTAGGTAACATTACTCACGTAAGCACCTAGTGGCTTCAACTGATTTGGCTCTTGGCTGTAGACGGTCATCCAGTACCACCTATTGTTTGCATTATTCAGCTTGTAATCATTCGTTCCTTCAAAAAGCAAGGGTGACTGTAGTACACTGTGCGACGAGTCGCGTTGCCGCGTCAGCGTCTTGCGTTTTCCAGATATGACAGCGGTGGGCTAGCGTTTCTGATCGTAATTATCTGCGTATTGAAAAACGGGATCATGTGTAATTGCGCGACGTATATCGGCGGCGAGTAGTATTCCATGAACGGTGTTCAAATGTTAATGAGGACAACAGCGGCAGTGGCAGTATCTTCCTTTGAAGCATGTTTGAAAATGAGGCGAAACGAACGTCATTTTGATCTGAATTCTGGTTGTGGCATTAGCGGGTTTCTAAGTCATAACCAGGGAGCATAAGTGCCTATTGGTGTTGTCAGTTGAATATGTAGTGGTAACGTTGCTGGTACCGAATGTTGACAGAAGTGAGTTGCAATCCGTTAGCTAAGTGCAACACCGGCAATAGGTCGTTTTGTGGAACTTCTTGATGGCAAACGCAATGACTAGCGCTTCCTTCTCTGTCTGACCGTAGTTCTTTTCCACTGGCGTCAGTTGCGTGAGACGTACGTAACGGCCTTCTCGGAACTCTCTGGTAAGCGACGGAAGGGAAATACCTCAATCTCGTATTGGTACATCAGCGGCGGGTGAAATCGGCAAGGAGGGATCACATTGAGTCAGTAGCAGATTGGAGCTCTGTGTGCATTTAGAGTGTACAAAAGCCTTCTAGCAGTCGGAGGCTTAATACCAAGTAGTTTTTCTATAACCAGCGTTCGAGATTGGCTCCAACGTCGTTCACATCGATGGCACGCACTAAGCAGACCGCGCAAAATAGTACGAGCGGGTAGGCTCCGCAAATGTAGCTGGTGATGAAGGCCGCGAGGTAGATCACACCTGCGACCAGTGGTGTGAGGAAACCCATCAACACCCACGTGATCCGACGCTTTCAGAAGTCAACGGAGCTTCTCATCCGGAAACTCCCTTCCCAACGCCCTGATCAGGTGATCTCCCCATGCTTCATGATTGACCTTTGATTCTAGTTTTGCCATCACAGCTTTTCAAGGGTCCAGTGAAGCTCATCTTATTGGCTGGTTCCAGAAGACCGATCTGTACGCTATTCACGCCAAAAACGTTACCATCCTGCCAAATAAGTCACATTATTTTTAGCGAAACGGTTTGGACCCTGTCGCGGATCTTTGGTGAACAGTCCTCACAGTTCAACCCCGGATTGCAATGCCTACAGCTGGCCAAACGGGATGCCAGAGATTTCATCACCTACGCATACATCGTCAATCGGGAATGCATACGATTCCAGCTTGGCTCCCTCACAGAAGTCCATTTCAAGTGGCTCTCATATCTGGCCTCCAGCCCGCCCGAGACGCGGACATCCGAACGCGCTTCCTGTCTAATACGCAGCAGGACAGCACGGTCACACTCCAGAAGTTAGCCGACGATTGTCAGGTGCTAACGAATCTCCATCATGACTCTGTTATGATCCATAACGCTTCCGCACCTCTCCTTGTTTATACAGTCACAGCACCCAATCCCATTTAATTCGGCGGATCAAAGTCCCCACTATGTGTACCGATTCTGTAGTGCCTGAAATTTCCACTAAAGCCGCAGCTTCCGCCATTAGCGATGTGGCCGGATGGCTACTGCAATCTTACGCCAAGTCCGAACTGGCCCCTACCTTTAGTCCAAAGAATAGGCAGCGATCTAGACGCAAACCCGAAACTGATCCGGTTGTCAGTTCCATATGCCTTCTGACCGCATTCTAATTCAATGCGGATGACCGCAGGAAGTTCATCGAAATGCAGCCAAATGGTCGGCCGGTCTGATCGCATTTGAACACAGTTTCAAACATCACGATCCTTTATGATAAACTGCATCTCTCACTTGACAAGCTACCATTCCATTCGACTTACCAATTGCCTGTAGTGGTTGCGTGCAGCTAACGGGGCAGCTGCGCTGCTCAGTATCCTTTCGAGGTACCACATTCGTCGGAATCTGCTACGCCGCAAAAGCGAACCCCAGTCTACCTGATATCGATTGGCTCAATAACCGTGACGCGATAAATCTATCTCTTCGGGCCATCTGAGGTGTGGTACATTCTCTGACAGTACCAACTTACTAAACCGACGACATCACCAAACGCTTCATTTTAGGGTTCCAGGATGGCCTTGGCCGCTGTCGCGCACTCACCGTGTTACAACTAACCCCCTGAGCTCAATTGATATCCCACCACAACAGGTGATACAGGTCAGGACGTTCACTTATTTATAGCATAAATAACTCACCACACCGGGCGTGAGTTTTGACAAGGCGAGTTTGCCCCGAGAAGTTGCCGCGTGGTCACACTACGAGTGCCGCTTTGCGTGGTTTTTTGGTTGCCCATGGGAATGGCGTCTGTGCGTAATTTTGCGGAATCACTTGATGTTCCCGCAGTACTACTACTGCTTTGTGTTTTATTGTTTCTGCACACTTCGGTATGTAGTCTGATCCGTTACATTTCGACATTCGGATCATGGTTGAGTAGATCAACTGGGTGGTTATGCAAATTAATAAACGGACGTTACGCAACACGTGTCCATATCCACCAACGATGTCACAATTCGCACGGTGTTTGGCACTCACTCACAATTGCGGCCTCATACTTGTTGCACCATGTTGTCCTCCAGTTAGCAAATTGAATTCCACTACCCCCAGTCTGATTTCGTAGTTTCATTGTTTGTTGTGTTGGTTGACCCCTACTGGGGCAGCTTTCCATTTCCACCCAACTGTGTTTTATTGCACGATCCTCTTCCTTGCTTTTTCTTTCCAGGTCAAATTCGTCTCCCTTTGCTTAGTGCACTCATCTTTGTTTCTCACGCACGCTTGGCTTTTCGTCGTCGGTACTGTGCTCACTACTATCCACCTCGGTGTCTTTTCTTCGGACGGTGAAGGCCTCGGTCGCCTTTCTGAAGTGGGAACCTTGTTTGCTGAATGGGCGGATGCCATATTTCTAGCTCTGCTTGTTTCAACTGCTGAAATGGGCTTCACTCCCGAGCTGCTCCGAAACGAGATGGCCCGCTCAATGCCGAATGGTCGGACGCAGCCTTCTGAAGTTCACTCTAACGGCTCGTATCGTAAACTCGATTCCAGTGACATTCTTGATGATCGTGACGATGCCAATCGTTCAACACCCTCATCACCGTCCGCCTGGCTATACATCACCTGTCTGGTATCCTTATTCTTCTTCACGAAGACTGTGCTGTTTATTTGGGCGGCAGTGAGTGTTCACTCTTGGCTGTCTTCACTTTGCTCACATAGGATTGACCTCGACCGCCCGGCAGTACTAGCGCTTCCGGTGTCATATTGACGCCTTAGTACTGGGAATTGAGTCGTTACCTTACCGAAACAGTTAGAGATAATGAAGGTGTGCCTGAACAAAAAGGAATTACGAAAGCATTTGACAATTGTATTTGTTCGTATGTATGACTGATGGTATTCGGTTTCGGATTTGTCTGTCACTGTGGCCAGCTTGCGTCTTTAGAGGGACCATGGGTGGCTTGCGCTGCACCACCCACAGCTCCAAACACACACCCCATATCCAGTGTAAACCAGAAGGAATAAGACCGGGAGGCAGGTGGATGGGAGCCACGTTTCATCAACGGAGCAGGCCCACACTCCTTCACAGGCAAACACAAGCACGCTGTATTTGGGAATCAAGCGCACACAAGGCGGTGGCTCAACCGTAGTCCGCTGCACACTGAGTGCATGGCACCACTCTTCGAGCATAGAACGGTCACACGGACCGTGCACCTTGTCCCCTCCAGCGACGACCAACTGTCTCCTGGAGCGCGTGTGGACGAGGTAGTGGGTAATAGACAGGTAGGCACCTTGTCAAAATGCACAACAAGCGCAGCCACACCAGGGATATCAAGCGACAGCCAAACACTTGAAACGATAGGATGAAACAAAAAAAATCGGATAATGCATACAGATACCGTGACATAACTCTTCACTAAATGAGCATATGAAATCAATTGGTTGCGAACAAATCCGCGATAAGTTAAAGAGGTCAGTAGATATATGTAAGAAAATGCCACAAACGCGAAAATGTTATCGAAATTAACTACAATTGGCTTAAGCGAAATGTGCAAGTTTATAGAAGATAGTACAGGTAGACATTTATATAAGAAAGCATTAGGACAAAATTGCAAACACACCACCAGAAATAAAGAGACTCAGCATGCAAGCACGCGGTTAGTACATCGAACGCAGTGTACCTACAAACGCTGTGCCGGTTCTGGCTACGTTCTCTGCAGGACCCGTCGTCGCTTCGGTTGTGGTCTCGAGTGGCCTCGCTCATGGCTCACTAGGCCTGCCGCATGTGCTACAGCACCATGCGCTCGATGTCGATGGAGTACAACCCATCGGTGCTTGCTGCTTCTTCTCTATACGCATGAGGTCTTTCCCCGCACCTGGGAAACTGCCCTCGCGAACGGATCGTGCCATGCAAGCCGATCAACCGCCTTCGATTCCCATGACCTGCAATCAACATTAGAACGTGGGAGGCTGACTTTGATCATGTCCTGGTAAGGTAATTTTGGTTTCCACACATGCCGCCTACAAATACTCAGCTGACGACAATAGTTGTATCGGTATCAGCGACGAATCCATACGGCTCACATGACCGAGCCACCTCAGGTGTCTCAGCAAAAGTATGCAGTCCACTACAAACATTCCACATCGACGCAACACTTCCGCCTCCGCAACTCTGTCGCCGAAACCAATGCGCAGAATCCGTCGCAAACACTATTGATGGAACCGCTCGAAATATCGCACATCCTGCCAGCACATCGTCCACGTTTCACTGCCGTATAGAACGGAGAGCACCATGGATTTGTACATCATCAGCTTCGTGCCAACGGTTAGCTGATGGTTGTCCCACGCTCAGTACTCTAGCTTCCCGAATGCCGCCGGTGCCTTCCACATGCGGATACGAAGCTAACTGTGTAGCTCCTGGTCAGTCGACACCACACTCCCAAGGCAGCAGAACCGGGAGGTGGTTTCCAATATCTTAGCAACGATGCTGATTTGCAGCATATTGAAGATTGCACTTCCGGTGAAGGCTGAAAGAGATAGCCAGTTTCGCTTGTGTTGATGATGAGCCCGAATTTGGCCGCTGTCGAAGTCAGAGCACTAGTCCTCTGCTGCAACTCATTCGCGCTGTGTGCAAACAACACACAGTGGTCAGCAAACAGCAACATACGGATAGTTGTCTCACAGACTAGGGTTCTCGCAGCAAAACAACAGATGTTCAGCAAACCACCGTCAATACGCTGCTCCACAAGAATACCGCAAGCGCAAGCGGTATCAAAATCACAAGACATCACTGCATGAAATATATATTAAACAGACCAGGAGCTAAGACACAGTCTTGCTTCACACCAGAGATAAGTGCAAAATCATCCGAGGTCTCTTCACTTAGTTGCACCCTCGCCCAAATACCACTGTGCACACATTCAATTAAACTCACAAATCTAATCGGACAAAAAACCTACCCAACACAAACCACAATGCCTCGCGGTTCATTGCATCAAATGCCTTGGTGAAATCAACAAAAAGCGAGTACAACGGCTGGTGTCGTTCTCTGCACTTCTCCTGCAACTGAGGAGCCGTAAAATCCATATCTATAGTGCTTCGACCCGAACGGAATCCACACTGCCCTTCCGCCACGTCCGGTTCCAGAACCTGGCAGACGAGGTGGTTGAGCAGGATTCGGGCAATCACCTTGCCCACAAAACTCAGCAAGTTTATACCATGATAATTCGTACAACATTGCTTGCTCCCTTTGTCCTTGTACAATGGTAGCACAAGGGCATCCTTCAGCTCAGGATGCACCTTCTCCTTAATCCACACACGTTGTACCAAGTGGTGCAGCGCAGTCACCAACGCCGGTCCGCCGTGTTTCAATACTTCAGGCGGGATCCCGTCGGCACCGGCACACTTGCCGTTTCGCAGCTGAGCAAGTGCTCTCTGCGTCTCATCCAATGTCGGCTTGTCCGCTAGACTCGCCTTCACATCGTGCTGCTTGAGGCCGTTCAAAGTAGGTCAGTCAATCTGTAAACTGTTGTTCAAGAGAAAGTCAAAATGTTTCCGCCAGATCCGCATTATGTCTGCAGTCTGTGTGCAGGTAGCGCCTGAGCTACCATCGATCAGCGTCCACAACGGCTGCAACCTAGGGCCACACGCCGCCTCCAAAGAGTCAAAGAATTCCTTGTGTTGGCGGTGTTCGGGGTAGCATTCCTTCAGCCTCGCCTTCGTCATCCGCCATGCATTTTTGTTTCGACGGAGCTCTCGGGTCAGTCGCCGTCGAAAATTGCGAAAGTGACGATACTTCCCCAAGTCAGTGGTACCTGATAAATGTGTAGCAAATGTCGCATTTTTTTCCTACACCAATGCGCCAATCGTCGCATTGTTCTCATCAAACCAATCAGGCCGCTTACAGTTTGCGCGCCCGATGTTCTCCTCGGCAGCAGCTGCCACCCGGTCGCGCATATGGTGTCACAGTTCGCCCACTGTGGCTATGTATTCCACATCACACAGGCGTGCAGACATCTCCTTCCCCAGATCAATATGTTTCTCCACAGTACCAAGGGAGAGAAAGTTAAATTTACGCCGGTTCACGGCGGGAGTGCAACACATAGATTTACGAAAATATATGTACAGTTTGGTCCTCATCAATTTGTGATCAGTGCCGCACGCAATATATGTGTCATGCGCACTTCACGCATATCACGCTGACGTACGATGACATAGTCGAGCAGGTGAGCGTGACCACTCCGTGGGTGTGTCCAAGTTGCTATATCACTCGCACTCAGTGTGAACCGAGTGTTCGTGATCATAAGGCCGTGAGTGTCACACAGTGAGAGCACCCTGCCAATGCTCAAATTCCCTGAACCGATGCCATGCGGAGCGGTAACATCTGTCCACACCGATACATTCTGCCAAACTCGCGCGTTGAAAGCACCCAGCAGATATAGTCGGTCGCTCCTCAGCACAGACCGTATCACGGAGGATAGCTGAGTATAGGATTGATCACGCATCTCAGGATAACACATGGTCGGACTGTACATGCTTATAAAAGTGGCAAACTTACCTCTTCTGAGTCGTAGGAGATCAGTCATCAGTGGCGCGCTGTTGGTTCACCCACGCACTGGCCATGGGGGCGATCGGATATTGCGGATCCGACCCCATGTTCACGTGGTGCTGAGGTGGCGTTGCCCACCTAGTAGAATGTGTAGCCAGCACCAGCTTCATGCAACTTACCTTGCTCAGCGAGCCGAGTTTCACTGAGCGTCACAATATCGATGTGGTAGCGCGCCAGTTCCATCGCGACGAGTGCAGTGCGTCGCTCGGGGCGCTCACTCGAGTTCCGGCGCATTAGCGTGCGCACGTTCCAGCACCCGATGCTGGGTGCTTTGTGCGCCTGCATACGATCGCATTGGTGGGCAATCGCACGCGACGTAGCGGTTTTGCTTCGGAGGTTTGTTTGAGGGACTTCACCCGGAGCGTTTGGCTCAATAGCCTGACCCACTAGGCAATGGGTTATTTGGAGGTTTGCTTGAGGGGGGACTCCGCCCGGATACTTTGGCTCAATAGCCTGACCCACAAGGCAGTGGGGAGCAGATGCAGCTCGGGAATGTGATTGCAGAGACAGATTGGGATCTGTTTGACGGCCGTCACACGCAGCCTTTGAGGTACTGGAACGATTCATATATGTTTTGTGACCGTAGTAGGACACACCTGCGACCACGGCCAGACGCAGATGGGTTTTGGCTGGGTCGCACCGATTTGACCAGGGGCTGCCTGGCTTGAGGCGGGCAGTAGCAAACCATTAAGACCCGGAGGTGCCCTGCCACCATCAGAGAAAATGCGTGGCGCTCGTGTTCTACACCAATCGAACTGTGAGCTTATAACCCGTAGACCTGTTGTCTCACATGGATAGGTTTTAGGGGAAAAGGCCATCGGCCACTTCCTATCCTCCGAAGAGGATGGATTGATACTGACAGTGCGCTCACACGTGACATGAGAACGATTCAGATCCTTAGCCAAAGCGGGTCTAGCAGATGCTCAGTTCACTGACTCATGCGGATTGGTGTTCTGGATCTTAGCAGGGAGAAGGGCGTAACCCAACTCCCACCCAGCGTCCGCCACGAGAACTCGTCCAGGACATCAGCTAATGGCACAACAGTAGCAGCAGTGGGTACACCATCTGTCAGGACCTAGCCACCACCAGCCCCAGTGCACCATAGCCTCAGATAGCAGCCATCAATACGCACATGGATTTGTTCCACTACAAGACTTCCATTT